TTCACTTTCACTTTTCACTTTCACACATTGGAGAAGGAAATGGCAAACCACTCAAGTGTTCTTGCCTTGAGAATCCCAGGGACAGGAGCCTGGTGGGCTGCCGTCTATGGGGACACACAAGGTTGGACACGAATGAAGTGACTTAGCAGCAGCAGATGGCTTAAAATAGTGCTTGTCTTATGTTAAAGGCTCAAAAGTTACTTTTGTAAAAAAAGGCATATTAAGTTCAGTTCAGTCGCTCAATTCAGTTCAGTTCAGTCGCTGAGTCGTGTCCCACTCTTTGCGACCCCATGAATAGCAGCACACCAGGCCTCCCTGTCCATCACCAACTCCCGGAGTTTACTCAAACCCATGTCCATCGAGTCGGTGATGCCATCCAGCCATCTCATCCTCTGTCGTCCCCTTCTCCTCCTGCCCCCAATCCCTCCCAGCATCAGAGTCTTTTCCAAAGAGTCAACTCTTCGCATGAGGTAGCCACAGTATTGGAGGTTCAGCTTCAGCATCAGTCCTTCCAATGAACACCCAGGACTGATCTCGTTTAGGATGGATTGTTGGATCTCCTTGCAGTCCAAGGGACTCTTAAGAGTCTTCTCCAACACCACAGTTCAAAAGCATCAATTTTTCGGTCCTCGGCTTTCTTCACAGTCCAACTCTCACATCCATACATGACCACTGGAAGAACCATAGCCTTGACCAGACAGACCTTTGTTGGCAAAGTAATGTCTCTGCTTTTTAACATGCTAAAAAGGTTGTCATAACTTTCCTTCCAAGGGGTAAGCGTCTTTTAATTTCATGGCTGCAGTCACCATCCACAGTGATTTTGGAGCCCCAAAAAATAAAATCTGACACTGTTTCCACTGTCTCCCCATCTATTTCCCATGAAATGATTGGACCAGATGCCATGATCTTAGTTTTCTGAATGTTGAGCTTTAAGCCAACTTTTTCACTCTCCTCTTTCACTTTCATCAAGAGGCTTTTTAGTTCCTCTTCACTTTCTGCCATAAGGGTGGTGTCATCTGCATATCTGAGGTTGTTGATATTTCTCCCAGCAATCTTGATTCCAGCTTGTGCTTCTTCCAGCCTAGCATTTGTCATGATGTACTCTGCATATAATTTAAATAAGCAGGGTAACAGTATACATCCTTGACATACTCCTTTTCCTATTTGGAACCAGTGTGTTGTTCCATGTCCAGTTCTGTTGCTTCCGGACCTGCATACAGGTTTCTCTAGAGGCAGGTCAGGTGGTCTGGTATTCCCATCTCTTTCAGAATTTTCCACAGTTTATTGTGATCCACACAGTAGAAGGCTTTGGCATAGTCAATAAAGCAGAAGTAGATTTTTTTTCTGGAATCTCTTGCTTTTCGGATGATCCAGCAGATGTTGGCAATTTGATCCCTGGTTCCTCTGCCTTTTCTAAAACCAGCTTGAACATCTGGAAGTTCATGGTTCACGTATTGCTAAAGCCTGGCTTGGAGAATTTTGAGCATTCCTTTACTAGCGTGTGAGACGAGTGCAGTTGTGCAGTAGTTTGAGCATTCTTTGGGATTGGAATGAAAACTGACCTTTTCCAGTCCTGTGGCTACTGCTGAGTTTTCCAAATTTGCTGGCATATTGAGTGCAGCACTTTCACAGCGTCATCTTTCAGGATTTAAAATAGCTCAACTGGAATTCCATCACCTCCACTAGCTTTGTTCCTAGACTCATTAATATCCTATAATACTTATTATGACATCCTTTGCATTATATTTTGAGTGCTCTCCTATCACACTTATTCTCAACAATGTGCTTTCTGACCCTTTTAATAAAGTTACATACTGCTCTCTCTTTCATGTGATTTGGAGCCAGTGAACTGGATATTTAATGGCACTGCATAGGTAGTAAATTGTACTATTTATTCATTTTTACTATAACTACAGAATATTTCATTTATATACATTTAAGTTTGATTTTTTATTATTCACTTTCTATTTTTTCTTAATATATATATTTTATTGAAGTATAATTGACATATAGTGTTTCAGGTACACAACAAGGTGAATCAGTTATACATATATATTACTTTTCAAATAGATTATTTTCCATTATATTGACTGTAGGTCCCGTGCTATACAGGAAATCTTTGTTGCTTGTTGTATATCTACTTTTTAATTAGGAATCTGTCATTCTATTCATACTAAATCAAACAAGTGAAATGTCATAAATTTTTTAGTTAACCAAAACTTCATAAGTTTTCTAAAATACATATATTATACATACTATTTGTATATACATATACAAAAGCTTCTGTATATACACTTGATAAAGGCTTGAGAAAGAACATTAAAAAAAGGATGGGGAAATTGGAAAACACAAGCTAAATGAAATGGGAGCACTGAATATGAAATAGAAAAAGTGTAACAAACTAGATAAAAGATCATCATGCACTCCAGTTGTTTATGGCTGCTCATTGGAAACATACCTGGAGCTTTGTAGGATAAAAGCAATACCTGTGCATTTGTATTTTTCAAAAAATTCTAAGATAATTCTGATATGCATCTGGATTTTAAAACGTGATTAAAGCTTTTTCTATTAAATGGTAGTTTTTTTGATACAGAATTCTGTTTCTCTGTTGACCAATCATGGTATAGTCACAATAGTTACATATGTGTAATATGTGATATTACATAGTCACAATAGTAAAGCTGTTTGTCAGTTTTCATGATTAATATCCAGACAAAAACTTAGAGATCATTACAATTGAAAGCCATAATGGGAATGAGATTAAGCTAACAATATAAAATAATGGCATTCAATTTGTGGGGTCAAGCAGGTTATTGCGGTAATTGGAATTGCATACATTCACATGTGTTCAGTTGCCCAGTTAGTCTATGCCTTTTGGTTGGTACATTTAATCCATTTATATTTAAGGTAATCATCCATATGTGTGCTCCAATTACCATTTTCTTAATTGTTGTGGATTTATTTTCTGTGGCTCTTTTCTTTCTCTTGTGTTTTCCTGCCTAGAGAACTTCCTTGAGCATTAGTTCTAAAACTGGCTTGGTGGTGCTGAATTCTCTTTAAGTTTTGCTTGTCTGGACAGCTTTTGAATTATTTGTGAAATGTGAGTGAGAGTCTTGCTGGGTAGAGTATTCTTGGTTGTAGGTTCTTCCCTTTCCTCACTTTACATATACAGTGTCATTCCCTTCTGGCTTGTTGAGTTTCTGTTGAGAAATCAGCTGATAACCTAATGGGAGTTCATTTATATGTTGTGTGATTTTTTTTTCCCCTTGTTGCTTTTAATATTTCATCTTGTCTTTAGTTTTTGTCAGTTTGATTGCCATGTGGCTGGGTGTGTTTTTCCTTGGGTTCATCCTGCCAGGGACTCCCTGCACTTCCTGGACTTGGTTGAGTATTTCCTTTCCCATTTTAGGGAAGTGTTTGACTGTTATCTCTTCAAGTATTTTCTCAGGTTCTTTCTTTCTTCTCCTTTCCTCTGGGTCTTGGTGTGTGCAAGATTTTGTTTGTGCCCTCCAAGAATGGAGTCTGCCCAAGTCCTGTGGAATTCCTATAATCAAGATACCATTGGACTTCAAGGTCAGATTCACTGGGGATTCTCAGTGCCTTTATCAGATTCCCAGGTTGTGAAGCCTGATGTGGGGTTCAGAACCTTGACAACAGTGGTATAGCTTCTTTGGTATTGTTTGTTGTCCTCCAGTTTGTGGGTCACTCACCAGTGGGTAGGGGATTTGATTTTATTGTGATTACATGCCTCCTACTGTCTTGCCTCTTCTTTGTCTTTGGACATGGGGCATCTTTTTTCCATGGGTTCCATTGTCCTCCTGTTGTTCAACAGCTAGTTGTGATTTTGGTGCACTCAGAGGAGGAGAGGAGCATACATCCTTCTACTCTGCCATCTTAAACCAGAAGGAAATTCTTCACTTTCTTTATACTGTTTTTGTCTAATTGGTAACTTCCACTTATATAGGTTATTAATTAGATAAGCTAATTTTGACTTGGTTAGTTTTACAATATATTGTGTATTCTTTATCATTTTTATCATTCTTTATCATTGCTTATTTATAGTGTGAATGCAGAATATGGGACCTCTAATAGTTGCACCAGGCGTAAAGACCCTGCCTGCCAGTGTAGAAGATTCAGGAGATGCAGGTTCAAGCCCTGGATCAGAAAGACCTCCTGGAGTAGGAATTGGCAACCCACTCCAGTGTTCTTTTCTGGAAGATTCCCTGGGGAGGATGGCGGGCCACAGTCCATGGGATCACAAAGAGTTGGATATAACAGCACACAGGCACATGCAGAATATATGTACATTATGATTTTTTTCTCCTTGGTATTGAAGCAGCAGTGTTTCATTACTTGATTCATAGATTGTGGGCATAGGGGAAATATACAATTTCTTTGATTCCCAAAAGGAGTTTGTTTAGGTTGAGTCTTTTTGTCACCACTTATTTAAAATGGCAGTGCTCTTAGAAATATTAGAATTATCTCTGATCAGTTTTTTTCTTAGAAACTAATCCTATTCCTTTGTGTTTTATAAGCTCATCATAGGTGATTCTAGGTGTTTGCTTTGCTTTGTTTGGTATAAGTGGTTTTTTAGTGTAGTAGCATATATTTAATGTGAGACATTTATTTATGAATTTTAATATACAGGATAATTGTGGTTTTCTATGTTTTAGCTATGTCTTGTGAACATGTGATCAAGAAATTACAACTAAAAGCAGAAGCTGATAAAAGACAAGTGGTCTTCAGTAAGAGTTCACTACTGATAATTCATAACAGAATCCACAATGAAGAAAAACCTGACAAATTTAAAGACGTGGCAAGGACTTTAGTCAAAGAACCCATGAATGTTCGCAGAGAATTCACACTGGAGAGAAACCTTGCAAATGTAATGAGTTGGGCAAAGTCTTTACTCAAAAAGGAAACCTTACACGTCATCGTCAAATAATTCATGTAGGAAAGTTTACAAATGTAATGAATATGGGAAGCTCCTCAGTAGAAAGATAAACCTTAAAATTCATAATAGAATTCATACTGGAAGGAAACTTTATAAATGTAATGAATGTGGCAAGGTCTTTTGGCATAGGGCCACCTTTTCATTTCATCAGCATATTCATGCTAGAGAGAGACCTTACAAATATAATGAGTGTGGCAAGGACTTTAGTCAAAAAGAAAGTCTTGCAGTTGATCATCAAAGAAGTCATTCTGGGGAGAAACCTTACAAATGTCATGAGTGTGGCAAGGTTTTCAGTAGAAAGAATTACCTTCCAATTCATAATAGAATTCATACTGGAGAGAAACCTTACCAATGTAATGATTGTGGCAAGCTTTTTCAGTACAAGTACAGCCTTGCAAGCCATCTGATTATTCATACTGGAGAGAAACCTTACAAATGTAACGAGTGTGGCAAGCTTTTTCAGCATAAGAACAGCCTTACAAGCTATCTGAGGACTCATACTGGAGAGAAACCTTACAAATGTAATGAGTGTGGGAAGGTCTTCAGCAACAAGAGCTACCTTACACGTCATAATACAGTTCATACTGGAGAGAAACCTTACAAATGTAAAGAGTGTGGCAAGATGTTTCAGCGAACATCCGCCCTTTCAGTTCATAAGCGTATTCATTGCAGAGAGAAATGTTCTTCCAAGGAGCAAGTGTGTTTTAATTTTATGAGTGCAGTCACAGTCCACAGTGATTTCGGAGCCCAAGAAAATGAAATTTGACACTGTTTCTGCTTTTTCCCCATCTGTTTCCCATGAAGTGATGGGACCGGATGCCATAATCTTTTTTTGTTGTTGTTGTTGAGTTTTAAGCCAGCTTTTTCACTCTCCTCTTGAACGTTCATCAAGAGGACTTTTAGTGCCTCTTCACTGTCTGCCATTAGAGTGGTATCATCTGCATATCTGAGGTTGTTGATATTTCTCCCGGCTGTCTTGATTCCCATACATGTATCCTGTCCATGTAAAAACATTGTTGAGAAACATTGTGTCCTCAGATGTCGCCAAAGAACTCTTCAAATGTTATGGATTTGGTGAATTTTGTGAGCATTACTTAAAAGAGAGCCCACAGCAGGGAATAGATAACTATAAATGAATGAGTCTTTAGTTCTCTAAGATAGTAAAAGCTGTAGAGTCATTACAGGTCACACCGTGTTATGTTAAAACTTATAATATGGGGGCTTCAATGGTGGCTTCAGGTAAAGAATCCTCTTATTAAATGCAGGAGTCACGGGCTCCATCACTGGTCCAGGAAGATCCTACATGCCATGGAGCAATGAAACCCATGGTCCATAACTGTTGTCCTATGGTCTAGAGCCTGGGAGCTGCAACTACTGAAGCCTAGAGCCAGTGCTATCCAACAGGAGAACCCACAGCAATGAAAAGTCCATACACTGCAAATTGAGAGTAGCCCTTTCTTACTGTAACTAGAGAAAAAACCTGCACCACAACAAAGACCCAGCATGACAAAATAAAAAATAAAACTTGTGGTGGGTTAATCTCCCAGTTGTCTCAGACTCTGTGGTCACATGGACTGTACCCCACCAGTCCCTCTGTCCATGGGATTTTCCAGGCAAGAATACTGGAGAGGGTAGCATTTCCTTCTCCAGGGGATCTTCCCAACCCAGGGATGGAACCTGTGTCTCCCATATGTCCTGTTTGGCAGGCTGGTTCTAACCACTGAGCCACGTGAGAAGCCCAAAAACTTACGACATTATGTTTATATGAGAGGTTGAAGGAGATATGTTGAAATGGCCGGTTATCTTCATTGTATGAACAGCCAGTGATTTTGAGTATGTTACCTTTCATGTCTTTCAACATGAAGTCTGTTGATCTTACACTTTTATAGGCCTTTCACAATATTCCCTGGAAAAGAGTAAGCTGAAGGACCAACTTCCTTAGGTACCCTTTCTTCACATCCAGCCGAAATTGTCAAATTGAATAGTGTGTGAATTAGGGTCAGGTAGAAACAGAATAATGTAAAACTAGGTCATGGCTCATACTCATTATGTTCAGGGTGGGCTTCCATTGATAGGCCACAAGTGGTGTTGGACAGAATCCTCCACCAACTGAAATCTTTGAAATCTTGATATCATGTGGAGTGATCCCAACCACTTCAGTGCTCTCAGATATTTTAGCTCTCATTATTTTTCCCTTTCTTATGATTAGAATAATTTGATTTGAGTGTACAAATGTGTTGAGTAGAAGTGGATTAAAACGAATGTTACATTGAGGTGAGGTGATAGTTCTTGTTCCTCCCAATCAATGAATATGGTATATTTGCCTTGCAATTCAACGACTATGGTTTGTTTCTCAAAAATGCCCTAAATAAAAAGTTATTTTTAACTTTTACTACCATACTATTTTTCAGCATAAAAGCCCGTGTTTTGCTAGATTAAGTTTTTCTTTTACTTTTTGCATACAAATATGTATGTTTAAAATTTCAATTCCAGTTTGTAAATGGCAGTTATGAAAGAATTGCATTCAGTTTTTTCATGTGGTTCCTATCCTTGCAAATTATACTTTTTCTAGATATTTTTATAGACTCTTGCTTTTCTACATGCACCATATTGTCTCCTATTACAAACTGCCACAAATTTGAGTACCTTAAACCAACACAGATTTATTCTCTTGTTTTTTGTAGGCCAGAAATGTCCAGTGTATCCAACGAACGCACTGTGCTCCTGCTGGGTTCTCCTGATCACAATTCATTTTCTTGCCCATTCCCAATTCTAGAGGATATGGTTAAATTACTTCCTTTGGCTAATGGTCCCCATGTGTATTTGCATAACACATTCTCAGTTAATTATTGGTTTTGTTCAAATATCTTCTTATCATCTAGGTATTTCCTGAATCTGTTTTTATACCAGGACTTCCTGGTTCACTATCATTGTTCATATACAATTTCATTGTACTTACCTTCATCATGATCTTGGTGAAATTACCTTATATAAGCTACGAGAAGTCAGGGTATTCATTTTGTTTCTTGCTACATATTTAAAGATTGGAATCATTCCCCACTTAGACAGTGAATGAATGCCCTTTAGGAATAGAAGTCATTGAGGTAAACAATAGGCACCATAGGTCACACGGTGAAATAAACATGCTTATGACCACAGATTTCTTTTTTTTTAAAGAATTTTTAAATTGAAGGATAATTGCTTTACCAAATTTTGTGGTTTTCTAACATACATCAACAAGAATACAGCCATGCCCCTCCCTCCTGAACTTCCCTCCCATCTCCCTCACCATCCCACCATTCAGCCTGTCACAAAGCCCCTGTTTGAGTTCCCTGATAGCAAATTCCCGCTGACTATCTATTTTATATATGATACTCTAAATTTTCTTGCTACTCTTTCCATATAACTCACTTTCACCTGCCTCTCTTCCCCCATGTCCATAGATCTGTTTCTACATTGCTTCCCTGAAAATAAATTCATCAGTACCATCTTTTTAGATTCCCATATGTATGCATCAGTGTACGATATTTCTTTTTTGGACTTACTTCTGTGGAATAGGCTCTAGGTTCCTCCACCTCATGAGAACTGACTCAAATACATTCCTTTTTATAGCTGAGTAGTATTCGATTGTATATATGTACCACAGCTTCTTTAGCCATCTGTCAATGGACATCTAGTTTGCTTCCATGTTCTAGCCATTGTAAATAGTAGTGCAATGAACATTGGGGTACATGTGTCTCTTATTTTGGTTTCCTCAGGGTATATCCCTAGGAGTGGGATTGCTGGGTCATATGGTGGTTTTATTCCTAGTTTCTTAAGGAGTCTTCATACCATCTTCCATAATGGTTGTATCAGTTTACATTGCCACCAACAGTGCAAGAGTGTTCTCTTTTCTCCACACCCTCTCCAGCATTTATTGTTTATAGACTTTTTGATGATGCCCATTCTGACTAGTGTGAGGTGGTATCTTATTGTAGTTTTGATTTGCATTTCTGTAATAATGAGTGATCTCTAGTCTTTCCCATTCTGTTCTTTTCCTCTATTTCTTTGCATTGATCGCTGAGGAAGGCTTATCTCTCCTGGCTATTCTATGGAACTCTGCATTCAAGTGGGAGTATCTTTCCTTTTCTCCTTTGCTTTTCCCTTCTTTTCACAGCTATTTGTAAGGCCTCCTCAGACAACCATTTTGCCTTTTTGCATTTCTTTTCCATGGGGATGGTCTTGATCCCCGTCTCCTGTACAATGTGACGAACCTCCGTCCATAGTTCATCAGGCTCTCTGTCTATCAGATCTAGTCCCTTAAATCTATTTCTCACTTCCACTGTATGGTCATAAGGGATTTGATTTAGGTCATACCTGAATGGTCTAGTGGTTTCCCCTACTTTCTTCAGTTTAAGTCTGAATTTGACAATAAGGAGTTCATGATCTGAGCCACAGTTAGCTCCTGGTCTTGTTTTTGCTGACTGTATAGAGCTTCTCCATCTTTGGCTGCAAAGAATATAATCAGTATGATTTCGGTGTTGACCATCTGGTGATGTCCATGTGTAGAGTCTCTCTTGTGTTATTGGAAGAGGGTGTTTGCTATGACCAGTGCATTCTCTTGGCAAAACTATTAGCCTTTGCCCTGCTTCATGCCGTACTCCAAGGCCAAATTTACCTGTCACTACAGGTGTTTCTTTTTTTTTTTTTTCACTCCAGGTGTTTCTTAAGTTCCTACTTTTGCATTCTAGTCCCCTATAATGTAAAGGAGATCTTTTTTGGGTGTTAGTTCTAAAAGGTCTTGTAGGTCTTCATAGAACCGTTCAACTTCAGGTTCTTCAGCGTTACTCGTTGGGGCATAGGCTTGGATTACCACGATATTGAATGGTTTGCCTTGGAAACGAACAGAGATCATTCTGTCGTTTTTGAGATTGCATCCAAGTACTGCATTTCGGACTCTCTTGTTGACTATGATGGCTACTCCATTTCTTCTCAGGGATTCCTGCCCACAGTAGTAGATATAATGTTCATCTGAGTTAAATTCAAGTGTTATCAAAGGAACATTTCAGGCAAAGATGGGTTTGATAAAGGACAGAAATGGTATGGACCTAACAGAAGCAAAAGATATTAAGAAGGGGTGGCAAGAATACACAGAACTGTACAAAAAAGATCTTCATGACCCAGATAATCACAATGTTGTGATCACTCACCTAGAGCCAGACATCCTGGAATGTGAAGTCAAGTGGGCCTTAGAAAGCATCACTATGAACAAAGCTAGTGGATGTGATGGAATTCCAGTTGAGCTATTTCAAATCCTGAAAGATGATGCTGTAAAAGTGCTGCACTCCATATGCCAGCAAATTTAACTCAGCAGTGGCCACAGGACTGGAAAAGGTCAGTTTTCATTTCAATCCCTAAGAAAGGCAATCCCAAGGAATGCTCAAAATTCTCCAAGCCAGTCTTCAGCAATACGTAAACAGTGAACTTCCAGATGTTCAAGCTGGTTTTAGAAAAGGCAGAGGAACCAGAGATCAAATTGCCAACATCCGCTGGATCATCGAAAAAGCAAGAGAGTTCCAGAAAAACATCCATTTCTGCTTTATTGACTACGCCAAAGCCTTCTACTGTGTGGGTCACAATAAACTGGAAAATTCTGAGAGATGGGAATACCAGACCACCT